TTGTCATTTTGGGACAGGGTCTAGCTGTACAGTTCAGGCTGGCCTTGAGTTCACTTTGTAGCCCAGGCTGGTCTCGAACTCACAATGATCCTCCTGCCTTAGCCTCTTGAGTGCTGGGATTACAGGAGTGCACCACCACACCTGGTTTACTGATATTTTTAAGTGACACATTTTGATTTTTCTGATTTATTTCTCTTCTTTATTCCTTTTTTATTAGTTCTACTGTAGTCCTTACACTTTTCAATTCATGTTGTCTCTCTTTTTTCTAGGACATGAGTGGCATTATGAAATGGTATGTATGGGTGAGCAGGAGTGGTGCTTTTGTAGTATAAATAGAGCTTTGCAGTCATTAGAAACATTTTGAGTAGAGTGAGAAAAAATCTAGCAGATGAGGGAAATTTCGCTGACGTATTACCTTAAATTGGCAAGCACAGTGAGGGTGTGAGTGCTGCACACTTACTTAGAATGGAAGGGATTTCTATGATAGATGAATTTGGTGGTTGATATCCACAGTTATAGCCTGAAAGGATCCTGGAGATTAGGGGTTTCCCAATGACACATCTGTGACTTCACTCATTTAATTTACCTTCTCTCCCTGTATCCTCCATTACTTAGATACTTGTTTTATTGCATTAAAGGGCCTTGTCTGGTCCTAAAATATGCCACAGGGACAGCTCCTTTCTATTTATCTACTTAGAGAAGAGACTAGGTCATTCTTCAAGGTTGTCACCAAATTTCTAAAACCAAACCTGAACTCTGGTTTCTCTTGAGATCGTATAAATCTTTCGCCTTTTAAAACCAAACCCAAGCCTTGAGATTAGTGGCTCTGACCCAGCTTGCTAACAGTTCATCTCTGTTTCCTTACTTTAGAAGCTCATATGATATAGTGCTTACTTCCATACAACCCACCTGTCCTGTCACCCCTAGGAGTGAGATCTGGACGCTGAGGAAGCCAAAATCTCCTTCTACAAAACTGAAGCGTGTATTTCAGGCCCCAAGGCTGAGTACAGTGCTGCGAATGTTCAGAGGTGAGATCTAGGGGAGAGATCAGAGGTGGGACTCTGGTGACATCAGGGGATCTGGGACAGTTTAAAGCAAAGGTGGAGCTGAGGAGGGAGATGGGGAAGACCTGTTCTGTGCTGAGGAGGACGCAGTTGTGTCTGAGGTGTCCGACTCAGCCTCTCATGTACCAGCGCGTGTTGTCGCGCTTCTCCCTCCTTAGCCTCTACTTCAGAGCAGAGCTACCAGTGCCTCTGACGTTTTTTTGCTTCTAATCAAAAGCACTGTATGTTTTATCATTTCAGAGCTGAAAGATATCCAAGACTACTGGGGTAAGAAGCTCTTGGGTCTTCAAATCACTATTTTCTACTAGAGTGGAGGTACACACCTGCTATCCTGGAATTCTGGGAGAATAAGGTGGCAAGATCCAGAGTATGAGCCTAGCTCGGGCCAATTAGTGGCACCATAAAAAAAAAATGGCCATGCGTGGTAGCACATGCCTGTAACCCCATCTCTTGGGAGGTTAAGGCGGGAGGATGCCACTAAACGTGAGGCCAGCCGGGCTACATAGTGGGTCCATGTAACCCTGAACTACACAGAAGACCCTTTCTCAAGTAAAAAAAAATTCAGAAGGACTGGGGACATAATTCAGTGCAAAAATCCTGACTTCACTACCCAGTAACACACACACACACTCATACACACACACCCCAATCAGAGTGGTCTGACCACCTTTCAGAACTTTGTGGTCTGAGAGAAGACTTTGTGGGTTTTCAGACAAGATCTTATCATCTTGTGTCGTGTGTTCTCACATATTCACAATGCATTTCCCTAGTATTTTACCTCCTCCCATCCATCAACACAGAACTCCCCAAGTTCGCCCTTCACAGTGTCACCAGGTGAACCTGTGTTGTGTCTGTCCCCTGACCTTTTCTGTTTTTTCTCTGGCAGTGGATGTTACACTGAATCCCGTCAACCTAAATTTGAATCTTGTGCTTTCGGAGGATCACAGACAAGTGAGAGCTGTGCCAATTTGGCCATTCAAGTGTGATAATTATGGGATTTTAGGCTCCCAGTATTTCTCCTCGGGAAAACATTATTGGGAAATCGATGTATCCAACAAGACTGCCTGGCTCCTGGGTGTATACTGTAGAAAACCTTCTAGAAAGTTCGATAGTAGTTGCAGCACAACCCGTACAAACACTTGCTCTAGGTACAGACCTCAACATGGCTACTGGGTTATAGGGTTACGGGAGAAATTTGAATATTACGCCTTCGATGAATCTTCTTCTTCAGGTCCTAAGGTGGTGGCGCTTTCTGTGGATATTCCTCTCTGTCGCATTGGGGTTTTCCTCAACTTTGAAGCAGGCACTGTCTCCTTTTACAACATCACGAACCATGGGTCACTCATCTACACATTCCGTAATTGTTTCTATCCTCGGCCTGTTTATCCATATTTCAACCCCTGGAACTGTCCAGTCCCCTTGACTTTGTGCCCCCCAAGCTCCTGAATGCTCCCATCCCTTCATCTACTTGTGGGACTCCTGCCTTAAGGTCATCTCTGCGACAGAGCACATCTCTACTATTCAGAATACCTCTGCCCTGTGACTGCCCTTCTGTACTTGGGAGCTTTTACTCATTCTTGAGATGTACAGTGTATTTTGCTTGGATTAAGAGGGAATTTATTCCTCTTCATATTCTCACAAACATCAGTCCCTCCCAAAGATGGATCCATATTGGTATAAGATCCACATCCTCCCATTTCTCCGTATTTCTCTTGATCACTGATCTGAAGCCTGTTAGCCACCTAGTCATATTTTGTAAGGATCACCCTCATGAGCTGCACACAATAATTTAAGATTCTTTAAAGAAATATCAGCTTGTGATACCCCAGGTTCATCCGGGAGTCCGGGAGAGGAAAATAAACATAAGTAGTAGACATACCCAGAGTTATGTCCAGAGTATTTGAGTTCAAATCCTGTGTCTTTTTTCATAAGCTCTGTCACAGATATATTCTGGGTTTCTTTCTTCTAAAATACAAAGTGGGATTTACCCTTAAACTCAGTGTGAGGAACCAAATGTCACTAAATGTAAACTATCTAAAGTGATTAGTATGTAATAAATTCTTGCCTTTGTGATGACTGAAAGTTATACTCTAAGTTTCTGTCCTATATATCAATTTTGTGCCTTCATAATAATAATGTTTGTACTGAAGTTTCATCTTTCAAGTTTTAGATTCTGCTGCCAAGCCCACTGTATTGAAGTTTTGTTACATAAAACTTTTCTGCTGAGGCTCGTACTGTTCTTAAAGCACTTTATGATGAGTAGGTCTGAAGACTGTGACAGGAGTTTCCATAATCTGTCCAAAACAAGGAACTATCTCTAGGGACAGCTGTTACAAGCTACAGTCTTCTAATACATGTTTTCAGTACCCAGGAGGCTGACTACCGTTAGTCATGACTGTTAGTTACCAGCCCATGAACTTTTTTTTATCCAATCTAAAACTCAGAATGACTACCTAGATCTACCAGGAGAGCAAAGCCACACACACTTCCATGAGAATTATGCTGTATAAAGTAGGGAAGGTAAGCTTTATAAATTGTTTACAGAGCACAAGCAGAACGAAAAAGAAAGTGTTTGCCCTGGGAATTATATATAATGATATACCCAAGATAGGAAGTCAGTACTAGAATAGTCACTACTAGTATACAGTAGTTCTCTTGGGATAGCTCTTTAAATTGATTTTTTAAAAAGTTTATTTATTTTTGGTCTTTTATTTCAGACAGGGTCTCACTGTGCAGTTCAGGCTGGCCTTGAACTCACTTTGTAGCCCAGGCTGGTCTCAAACTTGCACTGATCCTCCTGTCTCAGCCTCCCAAGTGCTGGATTTACAGATGTGTGCTAACAATATCCATGTTGGAATCTCTTCTCCATCAAGGTCACCCAAAGATTAGGAATTTGGTATTTCTAAGGGCCAAGCACTGCTCTGAACAGGTGGTACTGGAAAAAAAATGCCAAGTTTTGTTTTTCTCTACTTATACATCAGTTCAGGAAGAGATGGGGATCCAAATGTAAAAATGCACAAGCGTCCCACCAAACACAGTATTCACTGCACAATTCTCCTGTTTCATTGAAGGAGAACAGACGTTTTTCCTCATTCATGTGAAGTATCACAACCTCCTCTCTCAATGAGAAGAATAAAGCTAAGCAGGGCAAACAGAATACTCACCACACTATTGTGAAACATACTCCAAAGGGACTTGGTACTATTGTACCATCATGCATAATAAACACAATGTTTAGCCTGGCATGGTGGCACATGCCTGTAATCCTTATATTCTGGGAGACTGAACCAGGAGGATAACAAGTTCCACCTCAGCTCAGGCAACATCATGAGACCATGCCACAGAGTAAGAACTGAAAACCAGCTGGAGATGTAGCAGGATGGAGTTTAGTGTGAGGGCCCTAGGTTCAATCCCCAATACCATAAAAAAAAAAAAAAATTTAAAACATTTATTTTCTGTAAAAAGACAGAACAGGGCTTCCAGGCAAAGGGAGTTCTGCAAAAATATGAAACATGCCCGGATACCTATGAAGTTAGAAGCACTTGTTTCTTAAACAGAAACATAGAGTTTGCTAACAATAACAAAGGTGTGATTCTTAAGTACATTCTAGTTTTTAAAATACATCTGCAGGGTAAAGTTTCTGTACGTCATCTGATACATACGCTTTATTTTTATTTTTACAAATTTTTTGGTACCAGGAATTAGACTCATGACCTCGTACTAGCTGGGCAGGAGCTGTGCTGCTCAGCTATATCCCTGGCCCATAGATGTGATTTAAAATCATGTTAATCAAAGGAGAATGAGCCAAAAATTAAGACACCCAGCTGGTTATTCCTTGTGTGTCAGGCACAAGACAAGTAACTAAAAAGTCTACCTATTGTTTAGTTATTACAATGATATATGAGATGCTGGGTGTGGTGGCGCACACCTGTAATCCCAGCACTCGGGAGGCTGAGGCAGAAGGATTGTTCTGAGTTCAAGACCAGCCTGGGCTACAAAGCGAGCTTAAGCCCAGCCTAAACTGCATAGCAAGACCCTGTCTAAAAAAGGGCTGAAAACAAAAACAAACAAAAAGTAACACAATGATATATAAGATAAATTTCATTATTATTTCATTATTTTATTTTTTACAAAGGGTAGTCTGATTCCCACAAAGTATTTTATACGGACCAATATGTGGTAATACCCGAATTACCCATACACACAACACTCTAAAATTGTCAGGAAAATGTATACGGCAAAACTGTAGTAGTGTTAAAAATGGGACCTAAAAATGAGGCTTCTCTAGGGTCAACTGTAGCTCTCCCGGGTGTAAGAAAGTTCAAGGGTTTGGCCCACATAATGTCATAGGCTCTGAACTTCCCCCAAGACTGAGACATGGAAAAACATCACCAGAAAAGAAACACTGAGAGAATTCATAGATGAGAAACCCATGCCTATCACATCGTAGACTGAGAGACTAAGAGCCTCAGAGTCTAGATAAACTCCAACATGGCTTGGAGGAACAGTTGGGGAAAGGGCCGCAGTCCAGGGATTAGAGCTGTCAGACCCCCCAAAAGCACTATTCTTAAATTTATCCTGCAGCCCTATGACCCAGGAGCCACGTTTAGGTTGATAACTTAGAACGCTGAAGTTAAAGTGGGTGTTGAAGTATGTTTGATCACTTAATCCCAGACCCAGTTTTTTCTACTGGTAACGCCCTGAGTTGCGGATTGTATGGCCTGGACGCTTTGAGCCGATATCAATAGTCTCAGTAGATTATTTGCTGCCCTTTTTTGTCTCTCATTTGCAGAAATGGCAATATCTGGATTGTTGCTTGGAGTCAGTGTCACAGGAGCTATTGAAAAATTACAAGGTTGGTGAGGGATGTGGTTTAACACTGTGTGTGATGTTACAAGATTCTCGGGAAACCTTATGAAAAAGGAACTTCATTCAGGGATCTCAGGAGAGGTGTTACATTTCCAGAAACGCACTGTGTGTGGGGGGAGGAGAAATATGGATCACAAAATATGAGAAATAAGGTATGAAATATATGGAAGAGAGGGAGGCTTATGGAACTGTAATTTCTCATTAACACAGTAGCACTGGACATCCATTAGCTTTGGAAGGTCAAAAATTCATAATATTAAATGCAGGCAAATGAGTCACACTGACATCCATCTCCTCTGCAGTCTAGGGGAAGGCAAGGGAACTGTGATGGGCCAGGGAATTGGTGAATAAGGACGGATGGTCATTGCCCAATAATACAATCACATCACCAGCAGGCACTAACCTTCCCTTGTCTCCTCTTTCCACACACTGCTGTCTCTTCCCCAATGAGCACCTGCCTTCTCTAGAATCCCCAGCCACACACTTAACCTGGCGTTGTTCACTGCACCCTCCTCCCATTTGGCTGGTATTAGTGATTGAAGCCAGTACCTAGTGTACGCTGGGTAAGTGCTCTTCCACTGAGCACATCGCCAACCCTTTCCAGATTTCACTTTGAGACCATGTCCCTAACTTGCTAAGTGGCTCAGGCTGAACTTGAACTTGCAGTCTTTCTGCCTCGGCCTCATGAGCAGCGAAGATTACAGGCAGGCATGGAGCAGAGCACCCACTTCTCTCCACTCACCTTGCTGCAGTTGTAGAATCCCTTTCAGATCAGGAGCTTGAAACACGATCCTCTGATTCTTGGGAAAAGTTCTTGGTTTCTTCACAGCCAATAACTGACACCTACAGAAGAAAAAAGTGAATTCCACATCTCATCTCTGTGCCTTTTAAACACTCACATCTATCATTTCATCTCATTTTCACACTTGAACTCTCGTCTCTGGCAATCCTGGGACAAGGGACAAGGCCAACTCTTATTAATCCTGACTTCCTAAGAAACAGATCTGCCTTCTCATTCTGTGTGATCTTTGGAGAATCTTAACCTGTCAGAAGCAGAGTTTTCCCTTCTGCAGGAGTTTAAAACAAAACCCCCTGCCTGAAATTAAAGACATGTAATAATGTGTGGAGGAGTTCCTGCCATGAGTGTGGTCTCCTAAGACTGTGGTCAGTGAGTACACTTGCAGCACCCGGGCCTCAGGATCGGGGCTTATCAGGGTTGGAGCCCTACCAGGAGGAGCCCCACAACTCCAAAGCTCTGAAAGGTCCTCAGATACCTCTGAAAGGTCCTCAGCTACCTCTGAAAGGTCCTCAGCTACCTCTGAAAGGTCCAACAGAAAGGTCCTCAGATACCATCTGAGGTTTCAAGGTTTATTTTTTCTCTGGGAAAAATTACAAGCATTCGGAAAAGGAACACCAGAATTATACTGCTCTGAATTCCATGGGTTTGGAAAAGCTCGATGCTGCCAGGCAGGCGTGCCATTGAAGACAGCAGGATGAGGCCTTTTGCAGCTCTTCTGAAGAGGGTGACTAAGGTGCATCAACTGTTTGCACTTGGGCCAAAATTCTGTTTCACAGACACAAGTATGTTTTTGGATGTGATATCTACCATTTTCAGGGGAAAAATATAAATACTGTATGTAGGGTTTATCTCAATGGACAATTCTTACTGCTTTGTAAGAAAGATGTATTCTATCTACAATAAAACAAACACCTATTAAATCCAAAGCCTGGAGCTAGATGCAGGTATGCAGTGGATAAAATGGTGATGCCAAGGGGTTGACCATGTAACACCTCATCCTTCACACCACCACCGTTCCACACCATGACTCCTCACAACTCAGATCACTACATACTAATTGGTCCCTTCTGCTCTATTCTCAATAGGACTAAAATATTCAAAATTCTGACTGGTGATGAGGAATTTCTGTAACACTGCATCTAAAATTCCCCGACCTGGGAAATGTTCTATTCTAACTGAACACTCCTTAACTTTAACAACTACAAATCTCTTCTCATACACAAAATTTCAATTCTTGGCATCCCACACATACCTTTCCGCAGGGTCCTTCAAATCCTAGTGAGAAAAAAAAGAAAACATGAGTTAACAAATAATGGACTTTCCTTTCTTACAAAGTTTTACCATTCTCACAATCCCCTAATATGCTGAAAATGGAGATTTTCCCAGTGTGAGAAACAAAAAAGGAAAGGTAAGACTCGGTCCAACCATGCCATAGCTACCCATGAGATGGTTTAAATAACACATGGTTCTCTCACTTATTTTACAAGTATATGCACTGACATAGTATGTTGTCATATCTACTATGACACAGAGGAAACTTTTTCTAGGTATGAATAGGCTTTGCAGAATTGAAAATAAATAAATAATGGTTTCAGAAAAAGTTCACATGGTTTTTGCCAAGGGGACAAGAAACAAGTGTTTTTAAACATCTCATTTTGCTTGTTAACTATAATGGCTCTCTCCACTTACCTAAATGAAATGTATAAAAGTTGCTTTTAATTTTATCTATTTATTTATTTAGGTTTTTTGAGGCAGGGTCTTGCTGTGTTCCTCAGGCTGGCCTTGAACTCACTACGCAGTACAGGCCAGCCTCAAACTCGTGACAGTCCCTCTGCCTCAGCCTCTCGAGTGCTGGAATTACATTCCTGCACAACCATGTCCAGGTGCAATTCTACTTTTACTCAGATTTGTCAGTTAAATGCAGTATAACATATTCAATAATGAAGAAGCCACAAGGGTGGAAAACTGGGATGGCTAATCGTTAATGTCAACCATGCACCTCTCTCACACCCCACTGTCTTAAAAATTATAATATCCAGCTGAATTCCAGTCTCTATTCATCCAGTTTAGTCCACATCCTCCATGGTTTTTTGTCTTCTATTTATTTTATCATCGTAGATACAGTGTTGTTTGGACAGAAATATCGCACGCATGCAATGTTCTCTACCCTCGATTTCCTTCCACCTTATAAGTTATTGGCAAAAAATAAGGCAAGAGATGGATCCACATACACATAGAGAGTTTTGCTCTTCATAATAGTACTTTCATATTGTTCAGACATAAACCAAACAAATGTCTAGAGGTTAAAAAGCGTCTGTCGTAGGAAAAAGCATCTGTTACAAGTACAGCAACTGCTGGATTTTACAGCTCAAACTTATCTCTAGGATCTGGTCTACATCTTTCTGGAAATGAAAGTTTCCCAGTGACTCTACTGATGCAAACTTTGCAGAAATAAGAACTTTACCTCTAAATTTTAACAAAAAGTTTCATAGCCAGTATGGCACCTGTGTGCATTAGATCAGATAACCATCTTAAAATCCAACTGTGTTGTTCCTACAAATGCAGGAACTAGATAGAGTTGTTAAACTGGGATTAAGTGACAGACAATTCTGGCCATGCTAAAGATGCACTAATAATAACAGCAGAGATGCACAGAATCCATCAGTTGAGCTGTAGCCAGCTTGAAAATAGCTTGAGCTTTGAATGGACTCCCCTACCCAAATGCACATCCATATGTTTGCATAAAACAACACCACCAAAATACTATTGGATAGGTTTAACAACAGATTAAGAGAGTAGATGAAAGTTTGGTTGAACCTGAAGCTGTCACAAAGGACAATTTTTAGTCAGGAATGGGGGTGTACACCTCAGTGGTAGAGTGTGTAACTGATATATGAAACACTTTGAGTCTCGATAAAGGAAACATTTCATACCACAGAGAAAAGGAAACCCAGGTATGCTGGGTCATGTCTGTAACGTCGGCACACTGGAAGATGGAGACACGAGGATCACAAGTTCAAGCCCAGCCGCTGCCATTCAGGGACTGAGTGAGACCCCGTCTCAAAATAAACAGTAAAAAATAACTCTGGAGAAGGAACTCAGTGTGAAAGTCCTGCGTTTGATCCCCTGAAGAACAAAGGAAAGGAAAACAAAGCCAAAAAACAGACTAAAATGAGGAAGAGAGCTCCCGTGACGTGTGACATGTGAGACACCATCCAAGGCAAATGTACCGTAAGATATATGAAATGGGCATTCCTGGAGAAGCAAGAGAAAAATAGATGAAGAAATAATTACAAAAAACTTTTCCAAATTCTACAAAAGATATTAATAACTCACTGAGGCTCAGTGAGCCAGATTAGAGAAAAAGGATGATTTAAATTCAACGCAGCCAGGAAGATGGCTCAGCGGCACAGCGCCTGCCTGGCAAGTACAAGGTCCTGAGTTTGATCTCTGGTACCAAAAAAATAAAAATTTAAAAAAAAAATTCAATGCAGATGGGGTGCTGGTGATCAAGAATAGAGCGAAAGGGCCGGAAATGCAGTTCAGTGATGAGGGCCTGCTGAGCATGTGGGAAGCCCTGGGCTCCATCACCAGAGCTGCCAGGAAAAACAGAAACCAGGGGCTGGGGATTTAGCTCAGCGGCAAAAGCGCCTGCCTTGCAAGCGCAAGGTCGTGAGATCGGTTCCTGGTATCGGAGAAAAACCAAAAAAAAAAAAAAAAAAAAAAAAAAAAAAGAAAAACAGAAACCAACCAAGCGGAAAAGAAACAAAGGAAAATACGGTAACATTGTAGGGCGGTAGGAGGAAGGACAATCCTCACAAAGAAAAGCCGTGGGAATGGTGACGGGCTCACTCCTCATCCGACCAGGGAGAGGCCAGAGAGGACCAGGCTGAGGCACTGAAAGCAAGAAAAGGAGGAAGCTGTCCACTGAGAATTTCACATAAAGCAGAAATAGTTCTTCTAAGTGAAGGAAAAAAGATGTATTCCCTGATAGTTTATTCCTGTCAGATGAGTGTTACAATTTAATTATATTACACAAGAGTGCCTGTTCGGCCAGGTGCGGTGGCGCACACCTCTCATCTGAGCATTCCGAAGGTTGAGGCAAGGGGATAGTTGCAAGTTTGAGACCAGCCTGGTCTACAAAGTGGGCTCAAGGCCAGCCTGAACTGCATAATGAGACCCTGTCTCAAAAAGACAAAAAAAAGCCTATTCTCAGCTCTTCAATTCAATATGGTAGAGGCAGTTCAAGGCTACCAACTAGGGAAAATAAGAGATATCCAGTATGGAAGGAAAGAAGTTAAACTGTTCTTACTCTCAGATAATATGATCTTAGAGAAAACACTGAAGATTCCACTGAAACACCTTTTAGAACTCATGCATAAATTAGGTGAAATTGTAGGATAAAAAAATGGATATATAAATATACATCACATTTTCTACATTAACAATGTACTGTCCAAAGAAGAAGAAAAAAACATTAACTACCATAAAATAAATTTTTTCCCAATAAAATAAATTATTTAAGAATAAGCTGGGCATGGTGGCACATGCCTGTAATTCCAGCACTTGGGAGGCTGAGGCAGGAGGATCCTTGTGAGTTCCAGGACAATCTGGGCTAAAAGTGAGGTCAAGGCTAGCCTGAACTACATAGGAGATCCTGTCTCAAAGACAACAAACAAACAAAAAACCTTAGATAAAATAAATAAATTCCCTCAAAGGCGTGTCTCACCAAAAATTAGCTCAAAATCTATTATCTAAATGAACTGAGGCAAGTAAAGTAATGAGAATATTTCTACTGGTACAAAAACCTAAAGAATAGAAATAAAAATAAAAAAACCCACTGGCATGGCTTCACTTCTGAATGGTACTGAATACTGAAAGAAAACTAATACTAGTCTGTTAGAATTTTTTTCAGGGACTAAAAAGGAAAAAAATCTCACTCGATTCCACAAGGGAAAATGCAGTATCTTTTGTCACCTGAAGTTCCTCTGTTTACCACTGACTGCCCCAAGCATGAAAACATGCTTGATAAACGCTTCCCACTAGATCCCAGAAAAGAGCCAATTACAAAACACCACTGGAAACGATGGCCCTTCCCTCCCACAGGCAATTTTTGCACTGTACTTCCTAAGAATTGAAATGGGATTCTCCCTTTTTGTACATACACTCCATTCTTCCCATAATGTCTGAAACTGATTCACTTCCGTGAGGCACCAATCAGCCCCAAGAATTCAGTACCATCACTAAAAGCAGGGCAGCACAGGACAGGAGGAAACACTTTCCAATTCTCCTGAATCTCAGAAGCGGGACTCCTGGGAGTCTTACCTGCAGCATGGCCACTGTGGACCCCTGCAGCCGGTGCCGCACATCTGAGATGAGCTCCCTCACCTCCCAGGCCTGCTGGGCCAACTCCTTTTCAGACTCGGCCAGGCCATTCAGAACACCTTGCTCCTCTGTCTGCAGCTTCTGCAGGTGCGTCCTCTCCTCAGAGTCCAGGGTGGCTCGCATTTGTTGAAACGCAGCCCGGACACTTTCTCTCTCCCCCTGTATTTGATTCTTCAGGGATGAGAAACAGACAGGCACTCGGTCAGGTGAGTTTGCAAGCCAGAAAACTAATAACTCTTTTTACTGGGAAGTCTCAGGGCAAGGGAGGTAGAAAGGAGACGTTCTTAGGGAAGCACAGTGTTCCTGTGATTTTCCTTGCCTGCCATTAAAATCAATGACATTAAGCCAACCTTCTCAAGGCTCAGGCTACACCAAATGGGACACCCACACCTCCCAGCTGATCAGGAACCCTCATCTCCCCGCTTTACTCCTCACTGCACTTGCGCACTCCCCGGCAAGACTTGAATACAGAAGACAGAATTGGGACCCTTTGTCAAATGTCAGTCTTAGTAGAGTCCATCTCAAAACCCACCACAGCCTTGGAGGATGGCGTGCACTAGCCATCTTCCCCAGCACCCCTCAGTGTGGATACCTCCCTCCCTGCAGCCTTACTATTAGTGACAATCACTCTCCAGACCACAGTCCCAAGGGAGAAGCACGCACAGGACTATCCCATGACTTCTGGACTCAACGTGTGCCAGAGGATAGAGAAGAAAGACCTCCTCCCCAAGACCCTGTCAGATTTCTGGCTAGGACCGTGAGGAAGTGTGGTCTCCTGCCTTCCAGGAAGTCCTTTCTTCGTCGATGTGAGCGTTCTACTTCTCGAACTCTTTCTCATCCTTCAGCAGCTTCTCCTGCAAGAAAGGAATCACCACAGTCAAGCTATGAGCTTCTCAGGACCTGGGCAGAGGATAAATGTGGATGAAATCTGGGTGATCTCACCAGAAACCTGAGGTTACTAAAAGTGAGAAAATGCTGATGAGAAAAACGTCTGAGGAGGTGAATGTCCTCTTTATATTTCTATGTGATTTTTCTTTAAGTAGTGAAGTCAAGTCCCCTTCTCTATGTGTGCACTCATTTTTTTGTCCCTGAGGTGAATCCTGATTCTACACCAAGAAAAGAACTTGTATATGAGCCCATCTCACTTACGCTTTTGCTGAAATAGGTAATCAGTGCTTGCCTTGGGCACCAGCTCTCCACCCTTCTAGTACAAGTTACAAGAAATTTTGCTTTTGTCCAGGAACTTTTACACTAAGCTTATTCTATTGCCATCAACTTGAGCGCATAAGTACATATGTTGGGCTGCAGAAGACAAGCAAATTGTTGACAGAAATCACAGACCTCAATTTTGTGTTGGCAAGCTAAACGCTAGCGCATAGTGGACATTTCCTAGCAGGTGGTGTTTTCTGATTTCTTCCCACAGCTCAGACCTCTTACCCGGTACACCTGCTCAGCCTCCTGCATGAGAAGCGTGTGGTGTCCGCGGTGCTCCTGAGAATGCTCACAAAGCCAGCAAATGACCTTCCCATCTTGCCAACAGAGCAGCAGGCGTTTCTCCCCATGGAGGTCCCACTGATCTGCCTGTGGGGTCAGGGTCACGTCCCCGAGCCTCTCTACTATGTTGGCCACATGTTGACTGGGCCTCAAGTTTTCAATATGGTAAGTGACTCGGCACTGGGCAGCAGCTCACTTCATTTTCCTCTTCGATGACAGTATGGATCCAACTGATGCAGAGTTTGCAGAAAGTGTGGCCATAGTCGGTGCTCACAGGTTCTGTCATGAGCTCCAGGCAGATGGCGCAGGTCACCTCCTGCCTGACATCCTCCAGGACTGACGAAGCCATAGATGCCGTTTCCCTGCTGTTGTCTGTCCACATTCTGAGGCTTCTCCTGACCAGGATCCTGACGTTGGGAAAGTTAAAATGGGGCAGAGTAAGAAAGGTGGTAATAGAAAGAGTGAATAGTGAGTAGGCAAAAATCACGTAGGCATCATGACCAAAATATTAAAAGTCACAAAAGAAAAAGGAGGGAAACAAGAAAAGGAGTTTACTGACATCATACTCACTATGTCATAATACTTCAGGGACTTTACTCTCAGTTCATTTCATATGATAAAATTTACGTATAGAATGGTTTTTATTTTCCCTTCCTTTACAGGACAGAAGGACAAATGGAGTCCTTTTCTACCAAAATTCTTGCATAATCTTTTCTTTTCTCCCCCTGCCCCAAATCCCATCCTTAATGTTAAAAACACCAAACTACTCATACCGTAGGACACGTGTGATATCCTTGTTATCAATATGGTCTCATTATTCTTTTTTGTTGTTCTTTTGAGACAAGGTCTTGCTGTGCAGTTCAGGCTGGCCTTGAGCTCACTTTGTAGCCTAGGCTGGTTTCAAACTCGCCACAATCCTCCTGCCTCAGCCTCTCCAGTCCTGGAATTACAGGCGTGCACCACCAAGCCCAGCGTGGTCCTATTATTCTTATACTTCCTGTACAAGCTCTTGTCTCAAACAGAGCTGCTCTAACTCCCTCATCTAAACTTCACCGCTTGCTATTCACATGAAGTAGCTTCTTTTTAATACCACAAAATACAATTAATCCTTTTAATAGGTGTATGAAAAGAACAGTAAATGACTTCCAAAGATAATATAGTGGTACCTTGGTTCATCAGCTTGATTCTTTCTACACTTCTGATTGAGGAGGACAAGAACTGAATCAAATCCAATAGTTCGATTCCACATTGACCTTTACGGGGGAATCTGATGTGGTTCTCATCCAGGTCAGTTTGCCACCAGAATCATGGAGAGAAATTCCTTTGTAAACTAAGGTACAGTATCACTATATACCTTCATTATTTTCAGCTGCAACTAACTTAATCCATTCAGTCTGCCTTTGAAACTGTCCTCTACCACAGTTAATGGTAACTAAACAGGCAGAACAACACTTAGAACAATGCGGATGAAGAAGCAAGCTTCTGAGTACTAGTTGGTTCACAGGAATCATGTTTGGTAATGGTAGGATTTTATCTTGGCCTTGAAATTTACCAAGGACATGGGAAGGAGCCTAAAGGTATGTGTGTATATGTATGCTGGGGAGGGAGATGACAGAAATGTACTTTCAGAATCCCATATGTCAGATATATGAAAAATATAATCTGAGAGAAATTGGATGTTGGATGTTTAGAGAAGTCCGCAAATATCAGACATGATCATTTGGCAAATGACCATTGATACGAACTGTGTCCTTCCAGCTTGACTTAAATCTCAAAACATGATGCAAAACAGAAGTCAAACACTTTGTTCCAGTATTATGGGCTTGACATTCAACTTTTAAACTATGAGTTATATAATCAGAAATATGCTGGGTATAGTGGCCCATGCCTGTAATCCCAGCACTTGGGAGGCTGAGGCAGGAAGATCCTTGTGAGTTCCAGGACAACCTGGGCTACAAAGTGAGCTCAAGTTCAGCCTAAACTGCATAGCTGAACCTTCTTTCAAAGAGAGCGGGAAAAAAGATCAGATGTGACAAGCAGGACTCAGAAATGTACCTATAGTTACAAAATTAAATGATGTGAAAAAGTTGTTATCCTAGAATTTCAACAAAGTTATTATGAAATTCCAACCTAAAAATATAAGATTTTAACTGAAACCTAAAGAATATGAAGGAAATGTGGGTTAAAGAAAGAGAGAAATGCATTACATAAAATACATTACACATACAAATAACCTGTTCATAGAGATAAAGCATGCCAGTCTGGCTACTCTGCAAAGAGCTGCTAGCTTTTGGAATCACATTAGCCTACAGGGAAGAGAAAATGCATCACCTCTCAAGAGAGGCAAACACTTAGGGACTCTTCCTTAAGAAGAGGAGAAATTGTCCACGTCAGTTATCACAGGAAGTACTGCACCTCCCTCCCGGCCAACAGCCCCTGTGGAGTCAGGCCCAAACACACGGTGACACTGAAAAGCGCAACACTGTCAGTCTGCAAAGAAAAGAGCCCTGGGGTTCTGCCCCTGTAGTGGGGGAACAGGATGATCTGCCCTGGGGTCAACATCCTGGCACACTGAGCCAAGGTGAACTCACAAGCGTGGGCCAGCAAGGAGGGAAGTGGGGCGGGGTCGGGTGCTCTCAGCTAGAGAAGAAGCGGTCCCTCCAAGAGAGGGAGCCTTCCCTGCTCACACCTCACCCCTCCCAGGCCGCAGCATCTCTGCAGCAGGAAGCTGCAAGTTTGGCCTTTCTCTTCCCTCAGCAAGGCTTCAAGGCAGGAGTGGTGGAGCACACCTGTAATACCAGCACTTGGGATGCTGTGGCAGGAGGATCTTTTTGAGTTCGAGACCAGCCTGGGCTCCAAAGTGAGCTCAAGGCCAGCCTGAAGTGCATGGTGAAACCCTGTCTCAGAAAGGGAAAGAAAGAAAGATTGAAAGAAAGAAAGAAAGAAAGAAAGAAAGAAAGAAAGAAAGAAAGAAAAACTTCAAATCCCCCAAGAAAATGCAGCTTTTTCTTCGAAAGTCTTCTGAGTGCTTAACACAGCTTTGGACACCTGTGAGGTCGTGAGTCCGTGCAGAGGAGGGAACGGGTCTGCAGCGTGGCTCCAAATTAATTCACCAAGTAATCAGCCAAGTGGGATACAAAGTAAAGTAGCGTCAGCAGGGTGGGGTGGGCGGGGAAGAGACGCTCTGACCAATGGGGCGCCCTGTGCAAGGCCGGCCTGTGAGCCCCTGGGTGATCCTGGGAGTGGAACTTGTCAAAGAGACAGCCTCGCCCCATTGTACTTCCCTGTTTCAGCCTACTGTGTATGCCCTCGGCTCTGTTCTAATTAGTATAGCTTTAAATTATGTTTGATTCTTATTTTACTGGGATATTATTCTCTTTAATACCTTTTGCTCTGTGACCATGTACTTTGTGACCTAATATGATTACATAAAATTGTAATTATCAAGATGTCTTAATTGTGCAAATTAGTGGTGTGAAAGTTTTTTTAGTCATAAATGTTTTTAGTACATAATGGTTACATTACAAGTGTAGTTCAAACAGGCCTTGAACTCTCAGTATTCCTCGTGCCTCAGTTTCTCAAATGCTGGGATTATAGGTGTAAACCACCACACCTAGTTTTCCTTAAGATTTTGATTCTCTTCCTTCCTGGAACATGGAGGCAAGTCATTTCATGTTACTTTATTATGGGACATTTTCAGCCTAAGCTATTTATTTATTTATTTATCTGTCTTTTTGAGACAGGGTCTGGCTATTCAGTACAGGCTGGCCTTGAACCCACTTTGTAACCCTGGCTGGTCTTGAAATGGCAATGATCCTCCTACCTCGGCCTCCTGAATGCTGGGATTACAGGCGTTTACCAC